AACCATTCATGCAGTTAATGACCTGAGTACTTCAAGTCCCGTGCAAAAACGCATGATCGCACGGGCTCGCCTGGTGCGTTTCAGCCTGGGTTAGATGCGTGTTTTTTTTTGCATCTGTGCTTGTCTGCTTGAAAATGAGTGGGATTTTTGTGTAAAATCCTGAAAACATCGACGATGCCGTGAAGAAATTTTACACTTTTTCGACACTTTTCTGGTAACAGTGATCTTCTTTGGGCAGTGGAAATGGCGCACTACTCGCTGGGTAGTTTAGTTTCCGACGCGCTGTTTTCGAGGTTCAGTGAGGTGCGGGCTGCCGGCGCGGTGCATGCAAGTTGTAGCGTTGTTACAGCGCGCTGTGCCAATGCTGCTCGATTGGTTGGAATTAGCGGTGGGCTGCGACCGCTTGTTGACGTGCTGCTGACAGCGTGCAAAGCGATTCTCAATGACAAATGGCGTAAAATGATCGCTAATTGTTTGCGCCAATAGTTTTGTGAGGAAGTGCGTGATCAGTTGTGAGTGCGCGGTCGCCGTTCACTCCGCCCCAAACAATTTGTGAGCAATAATCACCTGATCAGGTGCCCTGAAGGAGCTCCCATCTGTTTCTTTTCCACCCTCTCGGTTTTTTGCACTCTCTGCGCGTCTCAATTGTTAATTTCTTGCATTTTGAGGAAATTTACACAGTCAACAATCGAGGCATAACCTTCCTTCCTTCCTTCCTTCCTTGTCATCAACGTTGATTAACTTGATTACAGTACCTTGAACCCCCTTTCGCTCAGTTCTCTGCTTTCCTCTCTCTCCTTTGCATGTTATTTTTACCGTGAAACAATTTCACAATATCGTCGTCGGTAAATTCTTTTTCCTTCCTTGAACAGCGATAATAGATTGTTTGCTGTTGACGCCACTGTTGTTCGGTTAAGGACGAGAAAAAAGAGAAGTATGCGTAGGGTGAGGGGTGGGTGCCTCAGGGAAACTTCCCCATCCTGGAAAAACGATCCTTAATGTACCATCCAAATATACTTTGCTTCGCAAGTGAAGCGTGTAATCGCATCATACTGTATAAATGAAGGAGCAGCAATAAAACCGCATTAGCACGAAAAGTAATTAGTCATTGCCAAAGAAGTAGCAAACATGGTGGACGCAAAAGTAGCTTCCCACATGACCCTGGCATTAGCACGTGAGAAAATGGCATGCAAGATTAAGTCCGCTTCGTTCCACAGTAGGTAAATCCATATGACGCATCATATCAGCTAAGAGACAGTTGACAATCTAGGCTTAAGTAGAGTGCTTGCACAAGCCTAAAATATGAGGCTAGAAGCTACTGGCGTCGTCTTTTGTTTGGCAACACTGTTATACGTTAAAATTATTCTGAAACAAAAAAAAAAATCGAGCATAAATGTTGGCTGTTGCTATTGTTTGCTCAAATATCCTATTTATATCATGAGCTACAACCATCAAGATTTCTTTCAGTGATGTGCACAAATTTGGAGTTATAACAAGCAGTGAATTTTGAGCGATTAAATCATTAACTCGCCAGGAGGTTTGAAGTTGATTTCAGGTCATTTTTCTCGCATTTCGTTACGGATTGGCCTGTTCACCACCAATTTTCTGAATTTTGAAATTCTTCCGACACAAGAAGCTAGTGAAAAATTCACATCCCTAGTGGGCCGAAAGTATCTGTGTCAGCGGTTGAAAAGTGAAATATTAGAAGGGACCACAGTGTCCCTGGAATGGCTGGTTGGGTGGCTTATTGAGAGGCAATGAACCGCAGGACACGCATCAGTACTTCTAATTCCCATTCTTTGCTGTCCGGCTAAGAAATTAATAAGTGGGTACTTGCTCGTTCCTTTCAGCAAAGAGTTATGGTTGGAGGCTGCACGTCAGAGTGTTGCCGCCAATCCCTAAGCGCCTTTAGCTCTTTTTTTCTCAACAAAGCCATCATGCAGATTCAACTTCTCTTTGGCGCATTTCACACACAAATACACACTCACAGACAGCAACCATATATGCATGCACATACCCGCTCTTATGAGCTAGAGACATGCACGCATGCACCATCAGTAGGAAGCCCAAATGCTTGTACCCGTGCTTGCTATTCACCTACTAGTTTACTTATTCATTTAATTGCTAACTTGCTTGTATATCTTGCTGCCCACTTGCAAATTTGTTTTTTACTTATTTGCTGTCGTTTTCTTGGGTTATTAAATCACTTTCAAGCCCTTACAGAGTTGGCTGTCTTGTTCTAGCGCCCAGAAAAATCGAAAATCTAGAAACGATGGAAAAACTTGGCCCATTCAAGTTAAGATGCTAAGCTGTCCTGTGGGTGTAGTCAAATTAGCGTCTTTGTTTGTTTAATCATTTAGTTGCTTAATTTTTACCGTGTTATTTGCGTGACATTTTCATTATGTGAGCTTAGTCGCTGTTTATACCTGCAAATGCAAAAAAATAGCCTTACCAGCGACGTAATGGCAAATTGAGTTGTAACACCCAATATTACCATGATTGCTCAGAATATCAGTATCGATGTTCTTCATTTTACTGAATTGCACTAACCAGCCAACTTACATTGTGAATAGACAAACTACTGGTCCACAAGGTGTTACAGAAATCTATATGTGTAAAGCTTATATTACATGTGCCTATGCATTAAAAAAACATGTGCATAAAAATTTGGCAGCCTCTCGACAATACGCCATTAGCTAGTATCAGTTGTGCGTCACCTGACAAAAGTGCGTCACCTTATCTGAGACTGTCCAAGTGGGTGCTTAATTTTTTTGCGGTTGTTATTCAGTTACATATGCGCCGATTGTCAGGACAATCAACATGTTTCACTGATCGGTTTCGCTTTCTGGCTTGGTCGAAATGAAATTCGGTGAGCCACTTTTATCGCCACTGCAGCTAGTCCGTGTGATATATATATATATTACAGTCCTAGTTGCATATATATAAATATAAATATATATTTATATATAAACTCGCGCAGTAACAGAGGAGGAGGAGCGGAATAGCGGTGTTTGAAGAATCGAGCGGATATGGTAGATTGCAGGATGTCTGTGCATGGTATCCGATCCAATTGCTGCTGCTCCATAAATGTCATTGTGAGTGTGTTGTAAATGGTGATTATAGCCGGGCTGAGGGCTCCGAGCTTCCAAGCAAGCACTTCCGAGCGCCCAGTGCGGATGGGCCCCCTACTGAGCACCAACAATCATCAAGCACCAGCAGCAGTAGTAGTAGCAATTGCAAAATAGCTCCCCTCCCTTCCTCTTTTTCGCCTTTTATATTTCTATTCTATGTCCGCCCTATTCTATCCCGTTCTACTCAACAATCGGTTAGTTAAAGAGGTGGAAATCAATCAAGGTTAAGCGTGAAGCGATAAGCATGGATGGGTAAATGGATGCGTACGTGTTGAGAATATGTGCCAGTCGGAATTCCAGTCATAAATTTAAAAACACCGAGGGGGAAAAAATTATTCACCATGAATCCCAGATTTGTCCAGAACTATTCCCGGAGAATGCTTCCAGCTAATACTCTGTAATGAAGCCCTTTGTGTTTGGAAGATTGTAATGACTTTCCATTGCAGTCTTCGTTCCCATTCTCACTTTCTAATGTTGAACGTCATTCATACCACTCACCGAATCTTACAGTGACCGTACAGTCTCGTACGAAGAGGGCAGATTATCAGCAACGGGCTTGTTTTATGTGAGAGCACTAACAGGAAATAACTGGAGATGAGACCAGATTTACCTGGGCTCGTTCACGGAGCATTCAAACTGGGCTTTGTCGGTTCATTTTTCCTTCTTCCTCAATTTTTCTTTTGCTTATTTCTCAAAAACTAATGCTTCTTTGGTGCTTCTAAATTTCCTTCATACAGCTAGTGCAAGCATCAGCTTTTAAGAACCTCTGGGCCATTCGACGACTTTTAGACCAGTTTTTATATACGGAAACATCCTGGTTTTTCTCATCTCACAGAGAGTTCAGCACGCAGGCATAGGAGGACTCCGGAAGAAGCAGGCTTCAATTTTAGATCCATGCACATTGTGAAATTAGACTCTTAAGTCCGCTGCGAACTAATAAATCAAAATTACTTGGTTCGTACTGGACTTTTGATGCACCCAGGTGTCATAATGAGAAATTGCATAAACAGCACTAATTATGAAATCCTTAAAATGATAGCTGAACAAGTGCGTGCTTCAGCAGTAAATGTTCAATTTCGGAAGGCGAGACAGATCAGCAGGGAGAGTAAGGGCCAAGTGCGGGGAGGGGGAATTGAAGACAATTGTCAATAAGCTTACTGAGGAGAAGGAAATGATAGATTAGGTGGGAAAAGGGAAGAGGGAGGAGGAGAGTCGATAATCAGTTCAAGGAAACCGGGATACCCTTCCAGGAGTCATTGAAACGGCACTTCATTGGCATCCCGCTGGGACGTTTTGTGGTTCGGACTTTGAGGCTACAAGACCAGCTGCTTTTTTCAGCAGTAAATCTGTTAATTTTTTTTTTGATTGCATTCATAAAATCATTTTAGCGACAACAAAAGTTGTATTTCGGTAGACTGGACATTAGGAATAAAAAACAGCGCCTATCAATCCTGGCATCCCGGACGAAATAGTCCTTGTGATACAAGTTTTTACTAACTTTTATGCAGATCACCATCATTTCTACCCTTACCATTATCATTGCCTTCGTTATTGTCACTTCTTTTACCAGCAGTTGAAATCGCTAGTGCATGTGCGCGCTTTAATATTATCGTATCCGTTTTAGGCCAGAAAAGTGCTTAAAAGCCCTTCACTTCCTCAGGATTTTCTTTATAAAGCATTTCACGCATTAAATGCTCCGCACGCTAAATCATTTGTGAAGATAATTCAACTTTCAAGCTACGAAGGTTATGGAGTTGAGTTTTTTGAGATGTGACTCTCTTCCATCACTGTTTCTGAGTGTCAAGTGAAAATTCATTTTTCTAGACTTATTGTGCCCTATTCACTAAGCTCAATCAGCAGCTTGAACAGTAAATCAAAAACAGACCACGTTGAGAGACCGTAATTTCAAAGGTTTAGTCATTGGCAGGCATAAGGCAGATGGATCGGAATTAATTTTAAATTTTACTGCATATTTTTGTTTGATCCCAGTTTCAAATTTAGGTTAATGATACTATTTTAAAGTGAAACGTGTTGCAAGCAACGATAACGAAAATTGCAGGTGAATCGACATCTGGACATCGCGGTATATGGTTACAGGACTAGTCCCGAGAAATGTTGCAGGCAGAAAATGGATTCAAATTTTTGATGATTTACTTCGCCTCCTTGTTGCGATGTTGTGCCGCGCTAGAGCGCTGCAAGAGGCGACAAAAATACACATTATGACAACCCTGTGTGCGTGTATTTTTCTTCCCGGATATTTCTACCCGGCAAAAGGCAGACTTTGATGCTGAAATTCTTCCAGTGTATTCCCTGGTAAGGAGTCACGGCAGGGACGCGAAATCGACTTTCACCCAC